ACTGAGCTTGAATTTGTCTTAAGGTGCCTCTTCTGTTGGACCTGCAGATATTTACAAGAACACAACGTTATTTGTTCGTGAAAGTCGTCTCTGTTTTCATCCGGTTTGTCGCAAGTTAGTGCATAGACCTGGATGATGTTGGCGTTAAATGGCCGCGAGTGGAAACGCCTCTACTCATTTGTTGGTTTCCTGGCCTATTATAACAATTATTCCTACTCCATTGTAGTGTATTTTTAGTATGTGTTGGTTTTTGTCGTGTGCTTGATGTTCATCTTTTTCTCTATTCATCTCTATATTGAGTCGTTTCATCTCTTTAATGACATTATGTATTCTTCCGTCTGAAACATGCCGCGCCTGTTCAAGGTAGCAATCTTATTCATGAATGGTCCAATAATTCTTGGCACCCTCTGGTCATTCAAGACCTGTCGGAAACTGAGGGCCATGGCTTTTGGTTTTCTAGTCACGCTAATGATTAAGCTGGGAAATTTAATGAGGTACTAATATTAAGTAATCTGTGGGGTAATAGACTATTCCAGAGAATAAATACTTATAATGTGCAAGTTTCCAATATAGTAATTGTTAACTCTATTCAGATGCAATTTGGCAAAACAAATTAGACCAAATATAGTTATTCAAACAGTTACCTTGTTGTGTGCTAACACATTAAACTGGATGCTTCATATTAAACGCAAGGACTGAAATATATCTAGATAAAGCGGCCTGATGCAGTTAAATATTCAGGCCTCGTAACCAACTTGTCATATGCTATACGTGTTCATTTTATTTTTATTATCTGAAACTGCCACAGCGAATTACAACTTCACCGGGTCTCATTTTAATTGAATTTGAGACAATTTTTCATTAAATTAAGACTTTTTCCTGACATGGAAAATATATTGCAAATATTTACAAGTAGTTTCCTATATGTACTTGTATTATGTAATTTTTGGGCTTGGTTCATATTACGAGAACCACTGACGATAAAATATAAAAACACTTTATTAATTCGGCAAGTTAGATTTCTTCTAAACAGTGGTCATTTTCTGACATTGAATGAATTATATTTGCTTTCATTATCAAAACCTAAATTGAAAGCCAAATTTTTTTAATTATTTATATTCGGTAGTCTGATATCATACTTTGGTGACTATGTAGTTTATTTATGTTTACTGAAACTGTGTACACTTTAAGTTTGATTAGTTATATGACAATTCCAAATCAAATCTATTCCTGGGTTTCAGTCATTKATTATCTCTATTTRTTAATGAAAATACGTTTCGGTGTATTTTTYCACCATCATCAGTWTTTCTAAAAYAACAGATAGTKRAAAAAAAATTTTYATTAATTTAAAAACAACCACAGTTTGTCAACAACCTCATCATATTACATATTAAAATACATCACAATTGCAATACTTTAAAACATTCTAAAATTAATCAGGCCTAACAGGTGATTAGTCAGGACAATCAAATTTGGGAAGAGACTAGAATT